TTAACTGTAAAAACTGCCTGAAGTCGAGCTCACATCAAGACATATTTTTGAATGCTCAGCTTTCGCCGAAAATATATTAAAACTCAGAATGTTATCGCTCATTGATCCACTGCAGAAAATCATGTACGGACCTATGACACCAGAACTAGTGGCCACAGTCATCCAGACTTTTGGGGAGGTTGGAATCGTGTTTTAAATCATATCATCTTCGCACTGTTAATCCATGGACATGAGAACAACAACAGCTAGTTTTGGTTCTCCATACATTTTATTGGACAATCAATACTGTTGTAAAATTATTATTGACTGTATGAGTTTCAATTCCGTTTACATCATCAGTGTTATGTAAAAGTCGTAGGATACAGCTTAGTCTTGAAATGATGCAACAAAGAAAAAGATTATTATTTTTAGAAAAGAGGGGGGGAATACCAAATTAAACATTAAAGAGCTATTGCTAATTTAAATTATACTTTACCTTTTACATATTCCTAAAATATAAAATATGAAATAAAATTATTAAACTTAATTGAAATCATTTGGCAAGAGATCTTCAGATTCACAAATTTTAGTAAAACACATCTCTATTTGAAAGGATATTCTTTACTGTGTCATTCTGTTGCATGTTACACAACATTTTTCCTTAAAATTTCTCTGCACTATGACATCTGTAGTCTAATCACTGCTCACAACTAACACAATGACTTTCCCATTATAAACAGGATCGAAATGAATACATATTGCTTTTTCGTGCTTGCTGTTGCCTGAGTAACCCACGTGTCTTGCTTTGCCATCTTCTTCATTATCTAAAATGCAAACAGTGCATATTGAAATTCTGGGGCGTATTTAGCCCCCCTAATGTTGTATTAGTTTTTAACCAGAAGTATATTTCTAAATTGTTATTCCTGTTAAATATAAAAATGATGTTTTAATCAAAAAGTAAATTGCAATTTTCGCACCAGTTCTAATAACAGTCTTCTTGGCCATCATTCAAGCACAATTTGGGTTTCATCTTCCTCTCCAAAACTTACATCATTACAGAGATCATCACATATATGTATATTTTGCAGTGTGGTGCTGATTCACTGGCTGGAGACAGATTAGTTTGCTTTGCTCTGAGCACAAAGGGACATGGGTAAAAAATACTTTTGATGAAATTTTAAATGTAAATGCATTCATCATTTGTAATTTTATAGTCTGATTTTTGAATTTTTTATTTCAGATTATTATTATATTCATTTTGGCTAAATACCTTGATTTAAAACTGTTCTGTACTATTCAAGTTTAGTCGCTGAAAATATACCTTTTTAATTAAATATTAAAAAATTAAAGAATGAGTAATATAATACAGGCTTTTGTTATAAAACTGTAAAAATATGAAGCAAAATAACATTCATATAAAACATTAAAAACTAACTTAAGCTTATTGTGATTTTATAAGATACCTGAAGCAGATTTGTTTTTGAAATGACTTTCAGCTTTCACATTGCAAGAATGTGAATAAGCTATTGATTTTTTTTTTAATCTAAGTAATATACATTAAGGACCAGCATGCGCAGATCAAAGGGCAGTCACGGAACGAACCCCCTGGAAATGAAATGTCGCCACTGGTCCACACGCATTTCAGAAGTCAAGCCTACTTTTACACAAAAAATTCATATAAAATCAGCATTTTAATATAACAACCTAAATTTTTGAAGTTACATACTTAATTATTAACATGTATTACTATAAAGAATATCACATTAATAGAAATAAATGAAACACATGAAATACTAAAATTATAACTATAAGCATGAGAAAAATACAATACACATAAAAACAAAATTACAAATACAAAATGTAAAAGAAAATTAGACAATAACTATCTGTAGGTAATTAAATTCCTTCTGATGTGCATGGAATAATTCAAAACGAGAATCGACACACAGGACAATGACGGCTTTTTTCTCAAAGTAAGATGCATCATGCATCGGGAAAGCTGATACCTTTTTCCTTTTGTAATAATGCTTGTAAAGTTACTTTTCCCTTAACCAACAAAGTCTATGTAAAGTTTTAAAATACATACACTTGGTGCAGCTGACTTCAATAAAGAGCTAATAGTTTTTTATTTATGCGATATACATACATAGGTACAGACATCACGAAAAAATCCCTTCTGAATCCATTTTGGAAACAAGAGTCCTTTATTCTGCCCATATGGACAGATTTTACAAAAGTCCAAATGATGATGCCAAAATGATACCCAAAATTTTTCATGATTAAAATACTTCCTTTGCTTCATACAAGGGAGTAAAAACATTACACTTGCTTTGTCATTCCTCTGGACAGTATAATAGGTGACAGACTGATTACTAATCTGAACTGCAGGGTGAGGGTTTGAATTCTGTGTAAGGCTTGGTTATATATGTGCCCTTCCACTTTCTCATAACCCTAATATCAGATGACTCCTTATGGTACAATGTTTTTTGCTGACAATGCACCTCCTGTACAATGTTTTTGGTGAAAAGACAGCTAAATGACTGATTGATTCCACTAATCCCAATAAATGCATAAGAAGTAAATATATTTTCGGTAAATATATTTATCCCCCCCATTTGGGGGGGATGAATGAGACAGAGAAAAAGAAAATATATTTTATCCTCCATATAATGTCTTATTATTGTCAATTTACTTACGCTACATTTGTTTAATTATTTCACTTAATTTTTATCTTATAATTCATTACTCAGTTATTATTAACTTTATTTATTAATAAGTTTACATAATAAGTTTATATTTCATTTAAATATCCATTCTTTATTGCTTTATTTAATATTATATTTACTTATACTTGTTCCCGTTTTGTCACTTTCTGTAGAGTTCCAACACTTCAGAATTTCAGAAATCAAGCCCTGGGTGTAATATTAAAACAAGTGTAGAGCTCTTCAAATATAAGCTAGAAACAAAAAATCTCCAGTAAAATAAGCTAATGAAACTACCTGCAAAACTGAATATAAAGATGTGATAACAAAATATTGAATTGAATGATAAATTATGTATGTGCATTCAATAAACAAGAGCTGCCTTCATAAGCATGGCTTGATCAACTGGCTGATTCCACAAAAAGATAAAATTACGTAAAACTGATAAATTTAAGTAAGAACAGAAAATGCAGGAACAATTTAGAATGGATATTTTTCATTGCTTAGAGTGATTTTATAAATTGCAGTTAAAAAATCATATCAGTACCATATAAAAAAAGTGATTTTTCAATTTATATCAATCAAAAAGTACAATCGCAAGCCACAAAAACACAACACACAAGGGAAACAAAAATAAAAGCCTTGCCCCCCCCCACTCTAAACAGAATGTGCAGTGAAAAATGTTTAATCAGTTACTTGCTTTGTGAGACCATAATTATGTTCAAGAAAATATGCAAAAAGCTTAATTTTAATAATAATCCAAATTTAGAAGCTTTCTGAATGCAGAGAAATTTCCTTCTTATTCTTTGCAATAAGATAAATTAATAACTGATTAATATAATTTATTTACTGAATTACCCTTGGAAATATAATATAGTTTGATATGCAAATCCAAGCAAAATTGAATAACAGTTCTAGCATATAAATTGTTTGCAAACTTTAGTGGAAAAAATTTCAGCTTCAGACCTTAAGCATGATGAAATAAAAATTTTTATTACACGCATTTCATTATTTTAAATGCTATATGTAACAGTTAAAAATATATTAATGCATAAAAACTGTAGCCAACTTTTAAATACATCTAACTTCTATTCATTAATGTAATTTTTTTTTTTTTTTAATTTTGGTGTTCAGCAGCATGCTTTTTATGAAAATTCAGGTACACCTCTGCATTTGTTTTAGAATTCTTACTTGTTTTAACCATTTTATACATATTTAATGACTGCAACAAGACATAGCATTAAAGCAAAAATATATTAATATTCTTATGCACAGACATATTATTTATTTTAGAAATTTTTATTGTATTTAAAATGTTTTTCTTGAGTTTTCTTTCCTCCATAGAACTTTACAAGCTAATCAGAAAGCACTATTTCTGCAACATTTATCTGCATATGCTAATTATGTAGCACTACACTACATAGTGCAGAATCAGTATGACTTGTGTTTACAGAATGTTTGTAAATTTTAAAGCATATTTAGAATCAAAATTTTTATGTTGTTCTATTAACTCACTTCTATTAATTATTTCATTTAACATTTACTTGCATCAAATTCTCGAATACCTGAACACTCCTCACAGTAACAGTAATAAAATTCCTTTGTGTTAAAAAAAGAATAGGGTAACTCAACTGGCCCTGTAAAAAGAAAACACTAAGGAGAGAGGTCCTAATTTTCTATAACTAAGCATGCAAAAAAAAACTCGATGAGACACAAAAACATATTTATGTTTTTAAAACAGAAAAGCATACATTACCTTGCTGTTGTAGTTTCACTAGGCTCTTGCAAAGGTAAGATATGGCCACCTCTAACAACTAAATTTATACTTGTTATTGCGGCATCCAAAGTAAAAGTTGATCCTTTACTATCATATTTTTCCCCAGTAGAAAAATCATACCATATGCCTCTTGGAAAATAAGGTTCAATTTTGGTAACGTTCTGTAAAAATTATTTATTTCTAAATACATGGCCATAAGTAAAAGTATCAAAAACCATCATATAATATTCCACTACATAAAACAAGAAAGCATTCAAACATAAGGAAATACCGGATATAGGGCAGGCAATATAAGCAAAGCTGATCCCCAAAGAAACTGGTCATCTATAGCATATGTTTTCTTGTCATCTGGAAATCTAAAAAAAAAAAAAAAAAAAAAAAAAAAAAAAAAAAAAAGAAAGAAAGAAGAAAGAAAGTCATGATTTTATGAAAAAAAAAATGTAAGGTTGAAAAGTTGCCAACACTTAAATATGAAAAACTAGGAGGTTCTCGTGCAAAAACCAGGAGTTTTCTGCATTGTGTAGTGAAGCTATTTCAAAAGAACTTCAAATTGTTTTAAATTCACTTCTAAGGATTTAGGTTAGTGGACTATTTATAATATTAATCTGACACAAAATATATTAATAGTTAGTTAGATAATCTAGATTTTATGTTCTTTAGCTTGTGAGGTTTATATATTTATTTTTAACTAATTGTTCATTTTAAGTTTTAACTTTCCTATTACTCTCTTTTCACCCACACTTTTCATGCCAGAATGTAAATGAGATAGTGAACATTTATTCAGATTAAGGTAGAAAGACGTCTCGCCAGTTTACTACAAGGTTTACCACAAACCAGAGCCTTTCCCGAACATTAAAAGTATTCTGTGAGCTGTTAGGCTAAACTACCACACCTTGAAATTGCTATTTGTTACATATTTCTGTTAAGCCAGAAATGCTTGACTTATGTAAACTCAAGTTGAGTCAAATTGTTAGGTTGTGTTCGAATAAAAGGGCCTTCTGATTTCTGTTTTGTTTCACGAGGCTTGAGGGTAACTCTTCAGTAGTCCTTTTAAACTCTATAGTTTATGTTCCCAAAGAGACATAGACTTTACAAGCTAATTTCATTAGTAATTTTTTTTGCACTTTTTTATGGGGAAAATCTGGAGTAGGAAAAATATTTATAAATTATATTTTAATATGATGAAATTAAAATTAATAATTAATGTGTATACTATTGTGTGCATAAATACAACAATACATCAAATACTGATGTTAAAGAAAATTAAATACAAATGTTAACTGATTAAACACTCACTGAATCTTCTACAAATGTCTACAGTTGAATAAGACAGTTCAGATTAAATGAAATTTAATAAGAAAAACTATGCTGAAAATCATCACTACATGTTGGGAAATGGGATTGATACAATTTAAGTTTCATTACTTCAATAAAATTCATTTATTGCTGAAAAAAATTCCCTTAGCAAAGCCTAAAAATTAAAAACCCACAGATTTGGTGATTTAATGGAAGGATGTGATGAAAAAGTGGAGTTTCTCAGTAAAACCAGGAGTTGGCAGCTAAGATGTTATAACATAAACCGTTAATTTAGTGATTAACGAAATATCAGCCTTTAAAAGGTTAATACGGATGAATTTTTAAAACAATTTTTTTGGGGAAAAGGGATAATAAAATGTATACATCTTTTTAACTTCTTTATTTTTGTCACTGCAAACAGAATAATGCATTCATATTTAGTAAACAAGATTACATTTTTCTGTCTACATAGCATGAATAAAAAGTTTTAAGACTGATTCTTTTGTTCAGAACCAGATGACTTCATACTATTTTCTATTATTCTTTTAGATTGATTTAAATTTTTGACAGCACTTTACGAATGATTAAAAAATATTTCTATAAAGACTTATGTGACATCTTTAGAATTGTAAATGTAGCATTTTTTTCCATTCTTATCTGAAAAATTATCACACAATTCACTTTTAATTGTTGAATTTGCTATAAATAATATTTTAACAAGGACAGAAAATCTTCAAGTTGACAATAATAAACATCATGAAAATATTTCTTTTGAGGTGTTAATAAATTTATTGCAATGAAATAACATTTGAAAATTATGCTTATAAATGTGGATACAGAGATAATGGACACGTGTTAAACATTATTACATTATCAAGTTCCTAGATTTACAGTTGAAAGAGATGATTAACAAATATGTTCTTTGTTTCAAAATATTTCTTTTTACCCTTGATTGATGCATGTGGGAAATGGTATGTTGGGAATGTGATTATCAAATGATTATTGTGATAAAATGAGAGATGATGAATGTGAAAAATAATTTCATTTAATACCCAAAATTGCACACAATAAATGCAATACAATCATCACTATTAAAATGATAGATTGAGGTTCTATATATATATTTCTCTGGTAAATTTCAAAATTATTGCTGTTACAATATTAACATTTTTTTTTTATTTCATGATTCATAAATGAGTCAAAATAGTTGATAATCAGTTCCGGAAATTGCAGTTTAAACATCTCCTTTCTCCCAGTGAACTTCAAATTATTTGCAGACTCTTTTTGTTGATTTCATTGCATACAATATTAAGTCATATATCAATCATTGACTTAGCTCTTGAAATACTTCCCTTGAGGGCTGTATTTTAACTTAACATTTAGAATATGTCTCTGAATATGACAAAGAATGAATGTGCTTTATGGGAAGGAGTAACAAAATGACCTATCCTAGAAGAAATTGTTGTGAAATCGTCCTAGAAAATCCCCAGAATTGTTGGTAGCAGCATTTAAGTAGATGTAGAAATCAAATTTTTGTATGCTCATTTTCTCCTTATTTTAAAATCATTTTTATATATGCTGTATAATGCACACCTATAACTTTTGATCTCATTTTTTTTATTAAAAGCGCATGCTCTATGCTAACATATGGTTTATATATATATGTGTGTGTGTGTAAGATATAAGAAAATACTGTAGCTGCTTTAAAAAATAATTGACAACCTCAAAATTAACATTCTAAATTTGGTGCTCTCTCCCTAAATTCACCTGTTCTCCCAAATTACATAAACACTGCTTAAAAAAAAAAAAAAAAAAAAAAAAAAAAAAAAAAAAAAAAACACCACCTAAAGCTAATATTGACCAATCATAGCTTAGAATATTCTCTGCACGTATGAAGTATAAATTCTGAGCCACAAGGACTATGCTTCTCTTGTTTCCCAGCCTTCTGCCATGCAAACATAAGCACTGCTTATGCTTCCCTACCTGAAATGACATTGTAGCTTTTTATCTGCATATGTAAAAATTATTTGTATTCAACTATGTTCGAAAAGTAATTTGTCTGCCAAAGAAATAATTTTTGATGCACCTAAAAATAAAGACGATAAATCACTGAAATTAGTTTTGTCAACATCTTATTCCTACCTTATCCACCCAGCCATGTCTACAGCCAGAAGTTAAAAGTACCAGATTCATGACTGCGTACTTAGTATATTAAATAGATATGGGAAATACAGAACATCACATTTATGATGTTTGCAATTTTAGTCGGACACAAACAGTTAATCTCAACAATGTTAAATAAACTATTTATTACTTACTCAAAAAACAAAGGACGGATTACAGTATCTCCAAAAATATGACTTTGGTAGAAAAGTGTATATAAATATGGCAGTAAATAATATCGAATACGTAATGAATCTTTAGCAGTTTTTAAGACTGTTTCACCCATTGCAGCTGGATCTTGCTCCTAAAAGAACACAAAAAATTCAATATGCTTTTTAAACAGAATTTTTTTGGATTAAGATAATCTACATATCACAAACGCCAAAAGCTCTGTAAGTGAATGAATGGAATTATATTAATTAAATGGATCAGTTATAATGAAAAGCTAATACACAGCACATATGTATTTTCCTTAAATTCTCAAGTTTTCAATAGCTATTCAATAAATTTTCAAAAGTAAGGTACTAAAAACTATTTGCTTGATTTTAGGCACATTTTATCTTACAGTTGCTGATTATGCAAATTCAGTTTTAGGAGGAAAAAAATATTTAGAACATAAATTGCTTCAATGAAATATAAAATAAAATCATCAAAACCAATTGCTCAGATCACAGATTACATAATCCTCTGAAATTTGCATCAGACAATGTAAATATTGATATTAAAATTACAGCATTGAAATACAGAGCAGGACCTACAAGTTTCTGTTGAGATTTTCTTCCGAAGTAATTAAAACCAATATGGCAAAAACTATTTTCTGCTGTAACAGTTGTAGTAAGTGCCAAAAATTAATGACATAACTAAAATTGAAAAACGTTACTGCAGGTAATAGGCTGAAATGGATGATATTTATTTGAATGTTACATAACAGTAATTAATATCTTGTAGAATAGGGTATTGGTGGTTTCACAGTATTTGGTTTCCAAATGCTATGAAACCAGTGGTTTGACTGGTCCTACCAAAGAACTTTGAAATATTTCTAAACAGGTAGTTTTAATAACAGATAATTTTAATAAACATACAGTTTTTATTTAAAATATTTCTAAACAGATTTCTAAATACATTCCATGTTTACTACATATTTTTGTAGAAATATGATGAGATAAATAAAAGAAATTGAATATATTTATTCTTTTTCCATTATTAGGATTATATGCTGATTAAAATAATTATTTTTAAATATGTATAGAAATTCAAATATGTATAATGCTTTATTTAATAAATGCAATTTAATAGAATTCTGTACTATTCTATTAAAATATTTTTCATAATGAAAAATTGCATATAAATTTAATTTCGGTTAATCTTTGGATTAAGGTAACTTGGCGATTTTTTGGCGAAAATTTGGCGACCAACTCTGCTACAGCAACCTTCTACTTTTTTTTTTCGGCTCCATTTTGTCTTCACGAAGTAAAGACATGTTTCTTTTCTTTTTATTTACTCAACACTTTTTCCAACAATCTGCTAGCCGAATTACACTTATGCTAGAAATTTTATGGAACAAAACTGCTTAACCATGACAAATATTAACTGCAAAATTGGGAAAAAGTGCAGAATCGCAAACTCCTTGCCGCGTTTTTCAGAATTGGCACATACACAGGTAACCATGTACACGTCGACTTATTTTCACTTAAAAAACAAAAAAAAATCCCAGAATTGCACAAAAATGACATTGGGCACACTTTTGACTTTATCCATGTACACTGCTTTTTTCTCATAAATTAGAAAAATTTGCACGAAAATGCAGGAAAATTTTGTGAATCTTTAAACTCGGTAAAAAGCACACATATGAAATTACCTGATCGCGAAAAAGTATATACCCTTTCCAAGGATGAACATTTCCACGTATAAAATAAATAAAATATCCCAAAACTTTTCCCTCTAAATTATCTATTATAAATGTCACCACCAAATTTATAACGCAAACATTAAAAATGGTTGCAAATACTTAGTGTCAAATATTTAAATTATTTTCATGCACATTTACTTCTACTGAAACATACTCCAAATTGCTACAAACATATAATTCACAAAATAACTATCATTTAATTAAAATATAATTAAACCATGTACACATCGACTTATTTTTACTTAAAAAAAAATCCCAGAATTGCGAAAAAATGGTATTGCGCACACTCTTCACCATATCCATGTACACTCCTTTTTTCTCATAAATTAGAAAATTTTCACGAAAATGCATGACAATTTTCTGAATCTTTAAGCCCGTTAAAAAGAACATATATGAAATTACCTAATAACGAAAAACTATATACCCTTTCCAAATATGAACATTTCCACGTATAAAATAAATAAAATATCCAAAAACTTTTCCCTCTAAATTATCTATTATAAACGTCACCACCGAATTTATAACGCAAACATTAAAAATGGTTCCAAATACTTAGTGTTAAATATTTAAATTCTTTCCATGCACATTTACTTCTACTCAAAACGTATTCCAAAATACTACAAACATATAACTCACAAAATCATGATCATTAAATTAAAATATAATTAAATTAAAAACACTACTTAAAATATAAATAAGCACATACATTAAATTAATAAAAATTAGCTTACAATCCTAATTACTTCAAACTAATTCATTGCTAATAACAATTTTACAATAATACCATATTAATTTATTTATTCCTTACGTTTATTTATTCCTTACATTTATTTATTCCTTACATGCATAAAAATAATATCCTCAAATGATTAAAAATACTAACTTACATAATCTTCTTCAGAATCTTGATTGCATGGCAGATAAACTTTTCTTATAGATTCAATAATCCAGTAGTCAACTGGCAGTCTATTCACCCAGTAATAAGAAATTAATAAAATTTCACCCATACTCAAACGACTTTCAGCAAACCACATACCCTTCCTTACACTCCGTTTCACAAAATGTCCATTTTCACCAGATTTCTTGCACCGCCCTTCAGACTTATCTGTAATATCCTTCCTTTCACACAATCTCATTTCATTCCCACATGTTGGACATTCATACTTATCCGCAATTAATCCTACACCATTCAAGCAATTCTTTTGGATTATCAGATAAACGCAATAAAATTTTAAAATTCACTTTAGATAGCTCCATGGGATCCAAAAATTAATCAACACTCTTTCACACAACACACAATGAAGCTAAATACAAAATGGTACAAATTACTGCAGATATTTTTCCAAATTTTCCCCCTTTTCCGATTAAAGAACTGTAATTCGTCCATAAATGTCACATGACATATCTCATGATCTCTCATTTCCCTCACACAAAATAATGCGTAATTGGAACTGAGTACTTCTCACATTATTTCCAAAGTCCTAGGTAGTAATCTTTATCGCCTACCAAAATGTCGCCAAACTACCTGCTACCATATTCCAAAGATTAGCCTTAATTTCTGTATTTATTTGAAAAATTAAATTTTTTAATCAGCATGATTACATGCTGATTGAAGAAATATTTTTACTGTTACTAATTAATATAATATTTGATATGTTACCATTAGTTTTTGTCAGTCATTACAATTTTTCACAATTTTAAGTGGTTACAACAGTTTCTGAAACTGGCAAGAAAAAAACTATTTTATGCCATTAAAAAGGCAGCCCTTAAAGGTAAACAACCAGTTCTCAGTGTTTGCAAAGTAAAGGTGCAGCTTCAGTTTTCTCGAATTATAGATTTGAAGTAAAGTGAAACTTTATGGCATATGCAAACAAAACAGCTTTAACTCAATCATAACTAGGCTAATAGAAAATTAAGACTACTGTATTCAGCTATTCCAAGATCACTAATTTTCCCAACATTTTTTTTTTTTTTTTTTCTAAAATTTTCTGCAACAGAAAAATTATATTAAAACACTTGTACTCTTTTAATAATATTGATTAATAACTTGAGGTACGTACTTTAAATATGGGAAGGGAAAAGACTTAAGAACATTATAAAAATTTAAAGCAATAGTAGTTATAAGACTTTTTGATAACTCGTTGAAGCAGTTATTTAAATCATTGTCTCAACATTCTCACATCAAAATTATGAAACAAGTCAGATTTATAATATAATAGTTTAAATTATCTAAAAAGCAAGCTCACAAGCAGCTGAGTGGTAAAATCTCTGAACACTGGTAGCTCAATCTAAGTTTGTAACCTCGCAAACAGCCTAGCTGCATGGGTGTCTTCACGGTTTTCCTTGTGTGTATTCCCTTAGATAACCCTCCATGAAGGCATCCTTGCCTTTAGGGAGATAGCCTTTGTGTGCTCTGCGATAACAATAACCCTCCATAAAGGCATCCCTGCCCTTAGGGAGATAGCCTTTGTGTGCTCTGCAGTAATTAAACAAATTAAAACCTAACCAGTCTAAAAAGCAAATATACTTTTATTCAAAAGAGAAAATACTTCTCATTGAAAATTTTTTTCATTCTATGGGGAAATTTGAGAATCTTAAAATTCAGTAGAAATGCTCAGCTTTGGACAATTTCTGTGATTCGTAAAAGCAGATCCCATTTAACTAAAAGTGCTAATTTTCATTATGAGGGTAATGATATTTTCAAATGGGTTTTATATTCTAAAGAGTGAGTCATTCTAAATTCTTTCCCTATCGTTCTTAAACTATCTGGATTTTTATTTTGCATCATAGTTTCAAATGCATTTGATTGTTCCCCTCCATTAATGTAAAGCAAATAAACTAGTGTTATAAATAAAACCTCATTGGATCTTACTATACAATTCTGAGATCTAGAATTATTGGAACTTCAATGATTCTGAACTTTAGACCATGAGCTTAAATTTAGTAAGATGGGATTAGTAAGAACATAGTAAGACACAGCAACATTGGGCCTTTACTTATTGTTTAAGTCAGACAGAAAAATGCTATCCCCGTTCAACCACTCAAGCACTGAAGGATGTGATCCTGGTCAACACCAGTATAATGTCAATCAATGTGTATTGTCATTGGCTATTGCGAGTCTCTCTAGGCAGCAGGTGCTCAAAAATAACATACAGGAATCTCAGTTAATTGGAAGAAAAATCGAATCTATGACAGATTGTGAATAGGACTTTCTTTTTGTAGAGTTTTATATTATCCATTCCTATGTTTTGTAAAGGCTTTGGGGGTTATGTTTTTTTTGGGTGGGAGGTGCTGGTGGTCTGGATATAAGATCATTGTGGATATTTTGGACATTCAGATTTCAGACTTTGCACTGTAGTTATGTGCTTTGATAAGTTGCACAAAAAGTTTTATTACAGTACAAAATCTTTAACTAAATATAATTAAGTTTCTAAATATATAGCATACTGAACTTTTGAATCATTTTATTATATACTTATTTTATTGTTTTATATGTTTTATTTACACATTTCCCTCATTTTGCATGTCACTATACTATAATTTTGATGTCTTATATATTAAAAAAAATGTCTTTAATTTACATTTAAATTCATGTAATATCTATTATATGTTAAAAGTTAGTTTCCTTTTTTCCCTGAGCATATGGCATTACTACTGTATTGATGGTTGAAAGAAAAGAGAGACATCAGTACTCTTACATGTGTTAAGCTGTTTCCATTTGGCTCTGTCATTCTCACATATGCAAACTTCATCGAGAATTTTGACTAAGAAAGGGAAACATGAAAAACTGAATAAAGAGAAGGCCCACAGCAAGTACTGATGATGTTAAACTGTGAGCAATAAAATTATCCCTCATTACTATCAAAAAGTCATTTATCAACATTAATGACCTAGAAGCCATTCTGGATGATTAATAAAAAAAGTGCAAGTTTGCCACATACATGTTTATGTTTACAAAAAGTACCTTAGAATTTCTAATTAATAGACTTTTTGATAACTCCCTCTATTTAACAGAGTTCTGTTCATACAGAGAAAGTTGTTCTGTGTGTCTGTCCCTCAATAGGAATTCACTTGGCATATTAAGATAAAAACAAAAAGCTCCATATTTTTAGATTTTTGAGTTTCATTCATTTCAGATATATTGATTAAATTAAAACTTTGCATTAAAATTTCTCTTCAGATTTTAATGCAGTTTTAATTCATTTTTGACACAAGATTCGTGTGAATCTTGTGTCAAAAACGAGAAATAAACAAATATTGTATAACCAATCATATTCAGGAACCTGATCATAAATTGGACTTTTGATCTACAAAATTATTCATAAAGCTTACTCCGTTGTTGACTCGTATTTCTTTGAAGCTTTTCATGTTCATTGGCCTTCTTGAGATAGCGAAATTAATTCCAATCTAGCCCTTCTTAATTCTTTTAGAAGTCAAATATCTTTGTTTTTCATGATGTAATACTATTTTCCTTGAAAGATGGCATGTGCATTTCATGGTTGCTTTTCCCCATACATTGCTTTGATATAAAGATGGCTGTTTAGCATATTTTACTCCAAAAGAAGAGGCATCTGTGTTTAAACATCCTCAAAACTGATAGATTTTTATTCAAATTTACACCAAAGTAAGGTTGCTATTTTACTGAGTTAGAAATTAGAGTAGTTTTTCAAGCTTGTCTATGATTTGTAAGTTTTTCAAAAGTGAAATAGCATTATACAGAAATTAATATTCTTAATATCTTTTATTAAATTTAATAGCAAAAAAAAAACAAACTTCATAAAACATATACAGTCAAAAGTCTTTAATCCAGATGTCCATAATCCGGAATGTTCTATAATCCGGACCTCAAAGCTACAAAACTTTCTGCGCATGCGTTAACGCATACGCATAATACCTTTACGCATGTGCATAATATGTTTACGCATGCACCTTTAATGTATAACGGACGGTATAAGCTAAGCTAAAATTATCTAAATTATCTATTTCAGTTAATGTTGCAGATTGCATTGTTCCTTAATCTTCTAATTGGATCCAGCTTATTATTTTTTGCAGACTGTTAGAGCAATTTTATAAAAGTAAGCTTGAACTTTCAATTATGCCAAAAAGAATTTCCGATACTGGAGCTGCCAAGGATCTACAAAGCGAAAGCATGTTCCGATGTCAATCAAACAAAAAGTGGAATTGCTGCAAAAAATGGATAAAGGCATATCCTTTGATTCTCTAATCATTCTGAAATCTGTTTATCAATTTCACGCTGCTCTACGTGGGGGGGGGGGGGAGGGACGACGCGGCACGCAATGAACTGGAAGTTGATCTGTCAGCACTATCCTTATCTTCAGAGCACATGTTTTTATTTTATTCGGCTTATAATTCCTTACTAAATGTAGTATTTAATTTCGATGTACTCCGTCTTTGATATGATTTAAATCAAATTCCTCGTCATTATAAAATATCATGAATACACATCAAATAGTTTTCTGGTTGCAATTTTCTAATTTCAACTATGCGTAATGTATGCTTTACGCATGCGCGTGTTGAAAGAAATGTTTAATAAAGTAAACAAATAAATATAAAGGTTTTTTTTTGTTAATTTTGATACCCTTTAGTTCATAATTGCTCTTTATTTCATAAATTATGGTTTCATATTTTTAATTTTATAACTTCTGCATGCCATTCATGCCATTTTACCAGATTTAAACTGATGATCTATAATCCGGAATTTGCCGAAGTCCCGACGAATCCGGATTAAAGACTTTTGACTGTATTACACACAGACAGATCAACTGCATAGGAGTAGAACCTTATTTAACAACTGAATAATTAAGGGGCAGCATTATGGAATATAAATGAATTACAATATTTTTTTAATATTTCATAAAATGCTTGTCATAAATATTGTACCAAGCACACAAAACTTCTAAACAATATCTCTCACATAGACAAAATAAATGCATTAAAAATGGCATTTTTGCATAATAATCAGCAGGAAGATAACACATTTGCAAATATTTCGATTTTCAGGTGATTACAGAATAATTTGCCAAAGAAAGAAAAAAAATGTGATAAAAAAAGCACTATATATATATAAATATATATATATATATAATTCAGTATGAGAAAACATAATGCAAAAGAATTAATTTTTGTTATATTTTATTGTTTTAATTTCAATGTGTAGAACATACACTTTTACTTTTTAAACTGTTTTATATATTAGCCATACAATAAATTATGAATTAAGAAATAAATAAAGAATTCTTAATTGTAAAAAATTTATTTCACTGCGACATTAAAAAAGTTTAAAAGTTATATTCAAGTCAAATAATTTTTTTATATTCATAAATCCAAAATTGTTGCAGCCTTCTATTTTATGAGTTTCGAAGTAAAAGATAACTATAGTATCTTGGATATATAGTGTTTTGTTATATTACTTATCATTAAAATATTAAAAATTTAATATAAACGGGCATCACATATAATCAAATAAGAAATAATACTTATGTACAATTGTATCAAAATCATTATGGTTCCTGGAAAATGGGTAAAAGGCTCCAAGTGCATGCCAACGAGCACAGAGTTCTTCTGTAGTGTTGAGACGAAACCCACAAATATCTGATCCAATCATAGACATCCCATAAAGGTTAAATATCAGCATTGCTTGGAGGGAGGAAGAAAATATTATTTACTTTATATAAGCAACAAATCACACAAATTACAGTTTTATAATGATTTTTCAGAAAAGAAATGATAATGCATAAAATAGAGGAATGATACATTTTTCACATTTTTACTATTATTATCTTTAATATTAATCATAATATAATAAAATTTAAATAAATTGCATGCATATGTTGAATAAATTCCATTTTATGCATGTTATAAATAAATCCATCTTTATAAATACGCAGTCTTTGAAAAGGTAGCCACTAGAAGGAAATTAAAAGTCATAGAAATGACTATATATATTATAATTAAGTTATATTAAATACTAAAATTATAACCTTCCAAAGTATTACAAAAATGCAATAGAAAAAGTTGAGAACCAGTAAAAACAAATTTTAGAACAAAAGCAAAAATGTCAAAGCCAAATGGGCAAATTATTAGAACAATAACACTAAAATATTTTTGCTCTCATCAGTGGTTCGACAAAAATAACTCAATTTCATGTTCTAATTAATAATCGCCAAATCAATATTTCTGACACTATGCAATTTTTAAACCACAAACACAAGTTGCAAACAATTGCTTACTGCCATTCCCCTATGCCGATCTGGACAACTAAAAAAATAAAGCACATTCTTAATGTGGAGTATAAGTAAACTCCAAAAATAATTTATTAATACTCCGTATAGTGAGAAGTTGTTTAACAGGGTTTGTACACATTTTTGAACACAGAAATTAAGTACTTTTAAGGACCATTAATGAAAAAAATTAAGGACCCATGAGCAAATGGAAACTGAATAATTTAAATTTAAAATATTATCTATGCCTGAATTTCACTTTTGTAATACTATACTATCCTAAAAATAAAATAGATCTGTAAGTAGGTTGCATTATTATTAAACATAAATGAATTAACATAACTATTAATATGTTTGAGAATAAATAAACTTTATGGAATTTATCAAATAGCATTATATATTTTACACTTTTAATATAGATATTTGAAAGAAGATAAGTGACATTTTATTTTCATTTTACTAACAGTTAGCTTTATGTTGATTTTTTTTAATGTCTCATTTTATCACATACTTTCTCAGTCTAAAGGTTTAACAAATAGCAGGTTGACTTTATGTCAAGCAGCATAGGTTAAAATGAGAAGTAAAATCAAAATTAGCATGATTCATAACAAAAGACAGGCTGCTGTCACCACTGCTGATTGCCTAGAGTGAGATCAGCTGATCAGAACAAACCTGAAAGGCCTGATGTAGGCATGGTTGGGAAGTTCTGAAAGTTAGTTGGGCTCTGTCTGACACAGTTAGTGTCATAGCTTTGTGTAGAGTTCCAGGGCTTGTAATCCAGTTAATATACTTTAAGGTTCCAATAAGCAACTAAAGCACCGGAGGTGATGAAATGATCTGTATTATTTAAGTCTCACTTTGGTCTGAATATGCAAACCAATGTTCTCACTAGTTTCTGCGTGCTTTATCTTCTAACTTTTCAACCTCTTCACAATGTACATAGGAGGGTTTACTTGATCTGGTAAAAGTTAAAGAGTCCAAAACTCCCCGACAGACAGCAAATTATTGCATGTCTGAAAGTAACTACAAAGTCAGACAAAGGTTTAAATAAGCCTCTTACTTAAAAAGAACTTAGAACATAAAGGCATGTTGTGATGCTAACAAAATCAATTACAGTTCGCGGTAATGTAATTAAAGACTATACAATTTAATTTTAATTTAAGCTGGCTCAGTAACTCATAACAAATTCTAATTGTCATAAACAAATTCTAATGTCGGAATCGCTAATGCAAAGAATAACAATTACAAATGATCAAAACTGGCAGGAACTAACACAGTGGTTTTTAAACACACTCTGTCTTACACCCCAAAAACCTCAGTTTAAAAACTGTGATTTGCATTTTAAACTAAGTGATTTGCATTCTGGTGAGGAAATAGAAATGGGAAATTATAGTAAAGGCTGAAATTATAAACTGTGTAATTTACATAATAATAACTGTACGTATCTTTGAAGAATAATTTGCTTTCACTTCATGTATTCAGTTTGTTTCTTCAACATGTTTCCTTTTCATTTTAGAATTTTTGGATTTAATTAAAGATTTCTGTTATTCTAAAAAAAAACTAAATGCATTTAGAATGTATAGAAAAAGCTGCTAATTTCTATTTCTTTAGTAATATGAACATTCAGAAGAAATATGAAATACACTCACTTCCAAAAGATTTAAAATTTGCACCAAGATTTAAAATGCAAAAAAATCAAGAAATACTCCTTTGATTGACACAAAATTCGGCAGGAAAGTAGCATATCTATTTATGCATAAAACAAAATCAATAATTATATACAGAAATGAAAACAATATTAAAATTTTGTAAGTTATCCGATAATGGCATACTGGAGACTTAAACAGAATTATGTATAAAGTGAAAAAAGAAACAGCATAAAATGGAAAAAAAAAAGGACATTAATGGGGTTTGTGATGCCCCCTCATCTGTATACAAAGTTTACACCTTGTGACCATGCTTTCAATTAGGTGGTCAACCACTGCAGAATTAAGCAATCACTATTCTTCTTGTAGAGCAGTTTCCAGCTCAACAAGGGTGGTTGGAGGTGGGAAACGTGAAGATACAGCACGGCCGAGAGCATCCCAAAGATTTTCAATGGGATTAAGGTCGGCCCAATATGCTGGCCATGCCATACGTGCAATACCTTCACTCTCCAGATAGTCATCGACGATATCAGCTCTATGGGTACGTGCTTTATCGTCCATTAAAGCAAAAGTAGGGCCAACTGCTACAGTGTACAATCTCACAATGGGGTTCTAGGACTTTATCTCGATACCGGACAGCCGTTAAAAAGCCCCGTTTAAAGGTGTGCAGTTTGGTGTGGTATCCTAATGAAATCCCTGCCCACACCATAACGCTTCCGCCTTGGATTTGAATGCGTGATGTTTTGGGACTGATTGCATGTTCGTTCCCCCCCCATATCCTTATACGCTTGTCATCTGGCTCCAGAGCAAATCTTGACTCATCAGTAAACATGACATTGCCCCAGTCAGACACATTCCAATTGGCATGTTCCCGGCACCACTGTAATCGTGCCCCTCTTGACTGGACGGATAGAGGAACACCAACTCGAGGTACCCGGGTGTACTATCCACTCATATGTAATCTTCGGTGTACAGTAGCTGCAGATATCGCCTTATCAATGGACACTGTAACCATACATGTCACACGCGTGGAGGTAGCTCTGCGATTCCGCTCGGCTACAATAGCAATATATCGACCTTCTGCGGGGGTTGTAACCCTTGGGCAACTGGCTACAGGTCTTCGGACAACTGTCTGTGTGGTTTGGAATTATTTCCATAAACGTGAAATTACAGAATGATGAACGCCGAAAAAAAGAGCAACATCTGTGATCGACTGTCCTGCTTCAATGGGCCCCACAACACACCAGCGCTCAGAATCTCCCATTTGTCTTCTGGAAGTCATAGAAACAGGTATGTCTTGAAAACAAATTGTACAAAAGTTTTAAACACCTTCTATCAGCACTTACAATCAACTTCTGTAACACTATGTCTATGTCTTATCACTTAGTAAGAGGCAATCGACCATTAATGGCCTTTAACAATATATTATACTTGACTTTTTAAATGCTTGAGGAATCGAGTAAGTTGTATCCAATAATATGGAAGTACTTGTGCACATGCTGTACTAGAACTCAGAGATTACTAGCAACGGAGGCTCCTGTGCCGCCGTCCGTAGAATAAGTAAACTTTGAACAAATGAGGCGTCGTGTGGCGCCATCTATTAGTAGGGAAGAAAAGCATTTCAGTTGGTTGCGCTATCTCTTGCAGGATGTATTGTAAGGCATTTTTAAAATTTAATTTTTAAAATTTCATAAAAATTATTCTTCTGATAAGCAATAATTGGAAAGTGAAATGATGAAAAACACAATTTGCTGTACATTGAAATGTTTCACAAACGTAAAAACCATTTACATACAAAATCTACCTGCTTTGGCAGGAACAAAGTCCATAGTGCATTGTAATTTGATAAGTAAATCTATAAGTAAAGAAAATGAAGTAAAATCTTGGCTAAATAAGAAGAAAACGAAAATATATACATTACCACCAACTATTATGGTGAATAGTGCGAGGCCTCTTGTGGCGTTGTTCAATTGTGAAATCATAATTTTCTAGTTTTTTGATGATATTCTTAGGATGACTGTCACACTTCATAAAAAAGTTATGAGAAGCTTTTAGAATTTCAGAATCCGTGGGTTTAATTTTTAAGTCATTGTGAAGAGTGCTGTTTCATACGAACCAAGGTGCATTTGTAATTATTCAGATGGCCTTGTTTTGAATTCTTTGCATTTTTTTGCAATGAGTTCTTGCAGTTGCAGCCCACGCTGGGGAAGCATACAGTAAAATCGGGCGGATAGCTTGTAGACAAATAACTCTTTTTGTAGTGAGACTAAGTTTAGAATTTCTCCCTATGAGTACATAGATACTGCCTATTGCTTGGTTGGCTTTTTTACAGATATTTTCGATATGGTTTTTGAAGGTTAGTTTTTGATCGAGATAAATGCCTAAATATTTAACACAGTTTTAATTTGGGATGGAGATATTATTAATTGTGATATTGTTAAGATGTCTTCTGGAAGGTTTTTTTTTTGGGGGGGGAAATAAATTGTAGTGGATTTGTTTCCATTGATTTTAATTTTCTGAACGTTAAACCATGGGAAGATATAGTCTATTGTATTTTGGAGGTTTTGGATGGCTCTTTACAGATTGATGGATTTGCTGAGAATTGCAGTATCATCTGCATAGCATTGCATCATTACACTGATATTAGATAGCTCGTTCTTAATACGAACTTAAAAAGTTCTGTTTTCCAAAAAACTTGAAATTAGTAGGATTAATCAAGGTGGTAATTTGTTTCCGATAAGTTTGATAAGGAGGCCTGGGTGCCAAACCT